GGCCGCTCCCTCCCGCCGCGTCGCAACACAATAACAACAACCAACCGATGGACCCTCAGAGACCCAATCAATATCTCTCCTCTCGCTTCTTCCGCCGAAATCTAGCAGCAGCAGTAGTATAGGGCACATCCTGCTCCCGTCCCGCTCTCGCTGTGTGGTGTGTGCAACACACGCTGGTTGGTGGGACTCCCTCTCTCTCCAGAGAAAAAAAGGCGAAAAAAAGGCCGGCAGCGTTGAACAACAACAAACAACGGAAACAACAACAACAACATCATCAGCGATGAACCCCAGACCAACCAAACGTTCCCCGCTTCCTCCGCCGTCGCCAACAGCAGTATGTGTGTGTGTCCCGCCCCCCTTGTCCATGTTCCCTGTCTCTGTGTAGTGCGTGTCTTGCCAGTAGCAGCAGCAATGTGTGCAGCACGGCAGTGCGTCGTGGTTTCTTGCGTGCGTGTAGTTTGTTGCCCAGAGAAAAACAAAAATGACGACGTCTCCCGGGGATGCGTCCATGTGACATATATATTTGCACAAACGGTGTGCTATCTCGAGACACCGACCACGGATTGCAAAGGTAGCGGTTGGGACAGCTGGGGCAAAATATTACTTGTTGTGCGCAAGTTTCAGTTTGCAATTTGGTGGCGAGATGGTGAAATGGGCTCGAGTCTGCTGGGTATTTAGGGCGCGCAGAAACTAGACACCAGACACCAGACACCAGACAGACACCAGACAGACAGCCATGGCTAAATTTTCACGCCCCTGTGCATGAAAATTATTCTTTTTCTCGTGCGCACATACTTCCCACACGATCCCTCTAAACAGCTTTTTTCTTGCAAAACAAAACAAAAAGCGTACCCCTCACGGGCCACACTTTTCGTAAAGAAAAAACTATAACTAGAGTTGGAGGTGCAATAGTTTTTTGTGGTGGTTGCACAAAAGTACCTGCAGTAGGCTCGTGCGTCTGTTACAGCAAAACGGGGGGCGGTCCATCATCACCAGCTAGAGAGGGGGATGGTATCCATCATCATTCGCTAGAGGGGTGGTGGTGTCCATCACCAGCTAGCGAGGAGGGTGCTATCCATCGTCAGCCGTGAGGGGGGGGTGATATCATCAGAGGGGGGGGGAGTGTCATCCATCGTCATCAGCTAGAGAAAAAAAAACATACGTTGAAAAATTCCCCGGCTTGTGCTGCTGCTG